ACTCTGACTCTAAGAATCTCTCAACTCCATCTACTCCACCTTCCCCATGGTGGAGAATCACACCCCATTCCAGCCACCATGCTTCTGTTTGGGTCCTCTCCTTCAGTCTTGCCTCTACACACAGCATAGTCTCCGATAGTTCTAATGCGTGAGTCTGGTGATAATTACCCTTTATGCCGCAGGAAAACCTCTAGATTCTTTAATTTTGTTTGCTTTGTTTCCAAGATAGAGTTTTGCTGTGTAGCTCTGGCTGTCCTGGAACTCACTCTGTAGACCAGGCTGCTCTCAAACTCAAGAGAGCCACCTGCCTCTGCCTCCTGAGTGCTGTTTTGTTGTTGTTGTTTGAGATGGGTTTCAAAAAACCAGTTGTTTACATTTATTTAGTTATTTAGTGTGCCTCTGTGTGTGTATTCCATAACACAGACGTAGAGAGGTCAGAGGACAACTTGCACAACTTGCTCCTCTCCATCCACCATGTAGGTTCTAGGGATTGAAACTCAGGGTGACCAACTGTGAACCATCTTGCCATCTCCAAGACAGTTTTAATATTTAGTCCAGGCTGACCTTGAGCCTGTGGCAATCCTGCTTCTAGCTCCTAAATACTAGGGTTACTTCTATATAGTTCTCTAAATTTAGCAGCTAACATAAGGCCTTGGTGCTCTGCAGCACTACTCAGTGTCAACAATTTGCCCATTTCTTTATTATATATATTATATATATATATATAATATACATATATATATTGTCGTAGTTAACATGCATGTATACATGATACTGCTATAGACCTTGACTTTCTAGCTAGGAAATAACTTTTCTTCGACAATTGTAGTAGCACATGTCTATAATCCCAGTACTGTAATCCCAGACTGAGGCAAGAGTTGGAGAGTTTGAGGACTGTCTGGGCAAAACAAACAAATGAAGCAGGCAGGAGGAAATAATGAATCCCTGTAATCCCAGCATTCAGGAGGATGAGAGGCAATAGGATAACTCACTGCAAGTTCAAGGCCAGCCTGGATTCTGAGGTCCAGGCAGCAAAGGTTACAAAAGATAAACTACCTGATAAAACCAAAACAAAGGGTAGGGGGTGTGGCATGGTGGCCAAGCCTTAAATTCTAGTACTTTCGAGGCTGAGACAGTAGGATCACCAAAGGTTTGAGGCCAGGTTAGGGTAAAATAGTGAAACCCTATCAAGAAAAAGAAAACAAAGAGAGGGAGGGAGGAGGGAGGAAGAAAGGAAAGAAGGAAGAAAGAGAAAGAGAAAAAGGAAGGAAGGAGGAAGGGAAAGATAAGAGGAAGGAAGGAAGGAAGGAAGGAAGGAAGGAAAAAACAAAAAAAAAACAAAAACAAACCACACACCGAATTGACTAGATGACCCTAAGGCCCACCTAGTGGAAGAGATGCTCACAGGGTGTACTATGACCTCACACACATGCCCCCACCTCCGTGCCCCTCTTGCGAGCCTCCAAAAGAACAAATGTAACAACAGAAAAAAAGTTTTTAAGCAAACAAACCATACACATACTCTGTTTTGTGTGGAAAGTAGCTGCGGGATCAGGAATTCAAGGCCATCCTCTCCCTACACTGCAAATTTAAGACTGGTCTGTTCAAAAAGCCAAAAACAAAACATCATACCCCCCAACCCCCACCCCCCAAAAAAGAGTATGCCCCCTGGGGTCTCGGTCTTCAATAACTCTAGGTTCAAAAAAAATGTTGCTTCCAGAAGAAGGAAGGACTAAAGGATAGAGAGAGAGAGAGGAGAGAGAGAGAGAGACAGAGGGAGGGAGGGAGAGGAGAGAGAGGAGGGAGGGAGGGAGGGAAGGGAGGGAGAGGAGGGAGGAAGGGAGGAAGGGAGGGGAGGGAGAGGAGAGAGAGGAGAGAGAGAGACACGGAGGGGGGGTTAGGCTTGTGCCGCTCAGCCTTCTGGGAGATGTAGTTCCATGGTTCCGGCCTCTATGGCGCAGCCGGACAGAGGCGTGATCCTGCTAATGCGCATGTCCAGGAGGCGGGGACCCCGCGCATGACTGAGGGCGTGGCCGCCGCGGGGGCGGGACATCTCAGGTGCTGGGGGAGCGCTCCGTTCTGCCGACAGAATGGCGGGCCGGGGTAAACTGATCGCGGTGATTGGAGACGAGGACACGGTGACGGGTTTCCTCCTGGGCGGCATAGGGGAGCTTAACAAGAACCGCCACCCTAATTTCCTGGTAGTAGAGAAGGATACCACCGTCAATGAGATCGAAGACACTTTCAGGTACGGTAGCCGGTGAGGCCTAAATGGGTCCTTCTGCTTGTTACAAGCGCGGGGAGAATTAGGGCCTGTTTACCGGGTGTCAGGCGGCGATGGGGATCGGGATGGCACTGGAAGCTGTCAGCCCGTCCGGAGCAGAGGCCTCCGCCGCCTAAGTTCCCCTTTGGGGCTCAGAGGGGCCCCACGTAAGGCAGGTCCACGAGCTCCGGGTCCGTCACATGATTGTGTGTCAGGTTAGGAGGAGAGCCGGGCCTGTGATCCGCCTCTGCCTCTGCCGGCCTCCTGGAGGAGCTTCAGTCGGTGGCTGAAGCAGGCTCAGCGTTTCTTCCGGGGTCCCCGACGCTCACCTGTAATGCATTCGCTGGACCTTAGTTTTGAGTCATATCCTAAACAAACCACACCCAGTGTGGGTCTGGACAGTGGGCTGTGTGTGTGTGTGTGTGTGTGTGTGTGTGTGGTGTACACACAGCTTCATTTTTCTTAGATGCTCACAACTGTCCTGTAAAGTAGTGTTTATCCCCAATTACTGGTGAGAAAAATAAAGGGCCGATAGGTTAAGGCACAGGCCCAAAGACACACCAGCTGTAAGAAGCAGACCCTTCTATTTGTTTAAGACAGTTTCTCTGTGTAGTCCTGGAACTCTCTCTGTAGACCAGGCTGGCCCTGAACGCAGAGATCCGCCTGCCTCTGCCTCCTGAGTGCTGGGATTAAAGGCGAGCACACCACTAGTCTGTTTTTATGTTTTAATTACCGAGTCTGTTTGTGTGATGTGTGACTGTGGGTAAGTGCTTGTCACTGTGTACATATGGAGGTCAGAAAACAACCTTGTGGAATCAGATTTCTCTTTCCATGGGCTTCAAGGATAGAAAAACTCAACTAGCCAACAGGCACATTTACCCACTGAGCCGTCTTACGCTTTCTTATGCTGGTGCCTACTCTTGTTTCTGTAGCTGCCCTTCAGTCTGCCTTGGAGTTTCCATTTGTCTTGAGCACCTTGGGCAGAACACGTGGAAAGTATGGCCTTCCACAAAGACCTGCACTTCAGGCCATCACTTTGTGCCCTAGGTCAAAGATCATAGTTTCAAATAGTGGGTGCAGGTCTTCCAAGCCAGGAAGTGCCCTGTTGATTAGAATCGAGGGAGCCAACACCCTATGCCTTCACTCCTTTTCCAAGGCTACTGTGCCAAGTCTCAGGAATAAACTGCCCTCACCTGTTTTCCCTAAACTGCCCAGTCAAGGCATGCTGGCTGAGGCTAGTTCCCACTGCCTGGGCTGTGGCAGGCTCCGACCTGGGAGAGACTGATCAGCTGATCTCTAAGCAGCATGATAAAGTGACCTCCGTTGTCACCGGAGGACAGATTTTACTTCTAAGAAGTTTCCATGTTTCCAGCAAGAAGGGATCCTAAAATGATCAAGTCAGATCTATTCCATGCTTGACACAAAGTAGGTGCCCAGTAAATTATTATTGTTTTCTTTTTCGAGACAGGGTTTGTGCAGCCTTGGCCTATCCTGGAACTCAATCTGTAGACCACGATGGCTTCAAACTCAGTGATCTGCCTGCCTCTGCCTCTGCCTCCGAGGTGCTAGGATTAAAGGAGTACCTCTACTGCCTGGCTTGCTTTCTTTTCTTTCTCTCTCTCTCTCTCTCTCTCTCTCTCTCTCTCTCTCTCTGTTTTTTGGGGTTTTTTTGGTTTTTCAGTAAATTATTTTTAATGAGCAGATGGCTGAATGTGCTTGTCTGTGTGTGGGGGGTGATCACATGACAAGGCCATAATGACAGTTTCTGTCTGGAAATTGTGATTCCGTCATTGCTGAGTTTCCTCTTTCCATCTTTTCTTTGACTTCTGGCAAATGTTGTCCTGGCCTCATCAGCACAGACCTTGAGGCCTTCGGGGTCCCCTCAACTCTATATTTTAAAATTTCTCCCTTCTCTACCTTCATCAATAGTAAGAGTCTTATGTTTCTAGAATCTTCTTATGCAGATACAAAGAGCCTCATACCTATTTCCTTCTCCTCCCTTTTCCTACCCAGAGGCAGCATGTAGAACACACTGACATGCACCCCAGTCAGTGTGTTTCTGAGCTCTTCATCCATCTCTCTATATTCTATAGTTGAGAGAGACCCTTGTACCCCCAAGTCACTGCCATTCTCCTCCTTTGTTGTCCCAACAGGCAGTTTCTGAACAGGGATGACATTGGCATCATTCTCATCAACCAGTACATTGCAGAGATGGTCCGGCATGCCCTTGACGCCCACCAGCGGTCCATCCCGGCTGTCCTGGAGATCCCATCCAAGGAGCATCCATACGATGCGGCCAAGGACTCCATCCTGCGCAGGGCCAAGGGCATGTTCACCGCCGAAGACCTGCGCTAGGGCTCCCCAACCCTCAACCCCCTCTCACTACCAGGCCTCTCCCAGTTTGCCATCCTCTATTTAAGTTTGAAGTCTTGGTTTCCAGCCCCTCCCTTTCTTTTCACTGAGTGGCTGCTAAGCTGCTGGGGCTCTGCTGTTGAGATCCAGGCTGGTTAGGGAAAGAAAGCCCAACCATCTCTCTCCACTACCTCCTCCCTGTGCTGTTACACAGTGTCATTGTTGATATTAAAGAATATTCTCTCCAAATGGGTGCAGTGATGGAGGACATTAGGTTGGCAAATACGGAAAAGCTGCCAAAGAATCAGGTGAGGAAGAATTGAGCCAGGGGGCCTACCTAATTCAAGGACTGGTCACCTGGATCATAGACTGGCTTCAGGGACGGAGAACGAAGTGTGAAGCCAGTGTGTCTTTACTTTGTGTCTTCACTCAGTTTTCATGGTGGTGGGAGGTGCCTTGCCCAAGGGACAAAAGCAATCACATAGGATTGTCATTCTAGATCAATAGTCTCACTCAGCCTGTGGGTAGAGACCCCCATGGGGTTGAATGACGCTTTCACAAAAGCCAACAGAAAACACAGATATTTACATTACAGTTATGAAGTAGCAATGAAAATAATTTCATGATTGGGGATGACCACAACATGAGGCACTGTATTAAAGGGCCACAGCATTAAGAAGGTTGAGAACCACTGCTCTAGGTAGAGCCTGGGGTCTACAGGTTTGGGGGTTAAGGTGTTTAGTTAGTGAGCCCTGCGCTGGGCTGCCTCAGAAAGGGTGACACAGGACATCTGCTGAGGGCAATGGCAGGTATAATCCTGGCCCTGTGTGAGGTGAGGCTTGGTTGCCAGGTGACTGTCCCAGGGTAGACACCCACTGTCTCTGCCTCCTGTGCTCACTCAGAAATAGCCACCCCAATAGTGCACATTCCCTTGCCACCATGGCGAGGCAGCTTAACATGGACACCCTGCGGCAAAACTTCTGGAAGGAGGAGTACCTCAAAGAGATGAAGTTGCGCTATGAATGGCACCGCAAGTATGGAACTCTGTTGAAGGCCAAGCAGAAGGCTAAGGCTGCAGCCCGCCTGCCCCTCAAACTGCCCACCCTGATGCCTAAGGCCCCGGTCTCACCACAACCTGCCTCCAAAGCTGCCCCTTCTAAGGCCCCCAGCCCTGTCCCAGAGACTCCTTTTCAGTCAGAAATGTACCCAGTACCACCCGCCACCAGAGCCCTGCTGTATGAAGGAATCTCCCATGACTTGCAGGGGCGCTACCAGTATCTCAACACCCGAAAACTGGACCTGCCAGAGAAGCGCTACCTGTTCCCCATCACCACCAACTTTACATATGGCTGGCAGCTGGGTGAGCCCTCACCTCCCAGACATGAGTCACCTCACAAACACGGGACTCTGCCTTATGCTGGATAGTGGAGATTCTAGGGGAAGGCCAGATTGTATAAGGGCAAGGAAATAGATCTAAGAGGGACAAGCCCTGTGAAATGAAGGGATGGTGGTGGGTGGGGGGCAGGACATGTGCTTCAGGTTGGATTGTTAGCAAAGGCCTTTCTTGAGGCTTTTGAGGCTGAGGGTAAATGATGTGAAGGAGGTCTTTGGATTTACCCTAATTTGAGGGGAAGCTAGTGAAAGTTTTAAGTGGGTGAGTGATACTGGATTTGGGGAAGTTGATGCATCTAGCAGATGAGTTAGGTGTTTGTCTTGTGTTATCTTGGCAAGTTGTGGGTAGGATTAGCAGAACTGAAATCAAGGGTGTTTTAGACAAAACTCAGTGGAGCTCATTGAAGGCAACAAGGACAGCAATCGATGGCAATGCACACATTTTGTTGAGGTTGCTGGTAAAATGAGAAGAGACAGGGCTTGAGATGTGTGAAGAGAGATCTGTGTTGGTCGTGCTAGGAGGTCCCAGATGTCACCAAGGCAGCTATGTGTGGAAGCATGGCCTTCAGGAGTTACGCCAGAGGAAGTCATTAGAGTGTAAGACTATTTAAAGCAAAGCATGGAAGGTGGCCAGAAGGTAGGGCTGGCACTAACAGGAAGGCAACCCACCTGAGCGCCCCCCCCCCATACCCCCTAAGCTATGTCATCAGCTGGGGCAGAGATGGCTGGAGAAACTCAGTGGCTTCTCAAGAGTGGGAAAGCAATAAGACCACAGTGTAGTTGCATTGATGAGGGCTCTTGAGTGTCCATTTGCTACCGATCAGGAATTTCTAGGGAGTGTGTCCCACTGCCTGAGTGTGTGCAGAAAGGGTGGAGTGGTTGGAGAGCAACACAGTTCCCTCATCCCCACCCCCATCCATCCCCTGAGAGTAAGGGGAGCAACTTCCCACAAAAGCAAGAGGAAGCCCCAGAAGGGGTGGAGGCAGACAGAAGTCACATGTCCCCACAGTCTGTCCCTGTGACAGTCATAGCTGGAAGCACACTGATCTGGTGGCCCTGGGGAGAGAGTAGTCTGTCATCTAGATACCCAAACGAAGGCTCTGGTGGAACATCTAGGAACTGGGTGACCATGGCAGACAGCTGCAGGCCACACTGCCATCACTGCTGAGTCCAGTTGTCCAGACCCAGATATATTGTCCCGTAGCCCCCACTCCTCGGAAGCCCTTTCGTTTATTCACACAGAGTGGATACAACGTGGGCGGAGTCCTAGGGCTATGTGAGAGACTCCTGTGCTCTGAGACCCCTCCCCAGAAACCCATTCCTAGTGTCTGGCATCTCTCCCCAGGCCCTGCTACAAAGCAACCAATACTCTCCTGCAAGATGTGCCGCATCGAGACTTTCTTCCGTAAGAATGGGGCCTTTGCATTCCTGGATCCCCGGGACCTGGCCCTCTGACCTCGGGCCTGGCAGTGACTTAGGAGCAGAAGGAGGAAACAATGGGATTCTTGGTGGAGCTGTATTGCTGTGTGTATTTTTGTTCTCCCTGGTCTTGATGCTTCCCTCCAGACCTTTCTGAAACTACCTCACACCTGGGGTCACCCTCTAGCCTTTTCCTTAACCATCATCTCCGTATCTCCACGAGGACTGAGCAAGGACAGGAGCAGGCTGGGTGGTGGGCGCACTATTCTCCGGGGCTGGGCTTCTCAGTGCCAGGGGACAGTAGTAGCTCCTGAAAGTTCTGCATGTTCCTGGAAGGGAGAGTGGCTTGTCAGTCAGATGTTGGGGCAAAGGAGCACCTACTATTCCCTGCCCGCCCCTCACCTGGCCCCGAGTGCCCGCAGCCACTGAGTCCTGCCTCGGTGCACTAGTTCCAGCCGCTCCCGCAAGAAGTGTCTCCATCCTGCCGCATCCGCCTAGGTGACAAGAGCTCTGAGCCGGCCGGTGCACCCAGCAGGCTGCCTCCCAGCACCCGCCCCTCTCCCGCTGAGCCCCTTCGGAAGCCCCGCTGGCTACTGCCCTCCCCTCCGGAGGCCAGAGCCGCGGTGGTC